GTAAATTGCCTTTTCTGCCTGGATGCACCAAAGATTATTTGTCTTTGAAATTCTATACCTTCACCAGAGTATATTTCAACTGTGTCCTTTTGTTCAGAACATTTAAGACTCTACTTCAAGAAATTAGCTTCTATCATATCTTTGATTAATTTTTCTATTCCATTTTATTCTGCTTTTTGTTTTCTGGGTTTTTGTTTGTTTGTTTTTTTACAGCACAAGTTGTAAAAAGTGGTTGGTATGCTGGTAAATGACAACAGATAAACAAAAACTTCTGATATGCATTGTTTGTTGATTTATATGCTGTAAAAACTCCCACAATGGTTGATTTCAAGCTATCAATGTTGTTACCAAAAATGGAGTTAGGAGCTCTTGCAAGCTGGTGCAAGCCTTTTGGTGTACATGTGTTGGATCTCCTTTGTTTGACTTCCATATAATTTTCCTATGATTGGTTTTATACTTTGTGTGTGTGTGTGTGTGTGTGTGTGTGTGTGTGTGATAGCTAAGTTCTATCACTGGGTTTCAGTTGTGTTTATTCTCATTTCCTATTCTTTTACTTTTTGAGTTGTTTAATGACTTCTCCCCCCCCCCCACGCCAAAACTCTCCCAGGGTCTCTCATTTCTGGCCATATTATTTCTTCTTTAAATCCTTGTATTTCTTTAAAAAAATTTTTTTGTCAGATTATATAATCTTTAACTTTTTAGAACTTTGGAGAAATTTTTATCTGATCTTTTGTTCTGTTTCCTGGGGGTAATTCTCCTTCAGATGAATTTTTCTCTTATGCTTTTTGTTTATGTTCCTTGAAACATTCATTTCCACCCCTTGTTGTGTCCCTCCTTTATTATCTGAGCAAGTGTCCTGTTTCTATCTAGAGTCTATGCTGGTTCCTTTATAATTGTGATGAATCTTTGAGGGATTCTAGCTATTTGCTGATGAATAGCATGGCTGAGGGGGGAAGTAAGCTGGGGTACTCTGAACCTTGACTCCACAGTGTGGTCTTAAACATCCCTCCCCAAACAATCTACCAAGTTCTTTACCCCTCATATGCATCTTTTCACAGTTTTTATGTGTTAATAAGGTTGGTTGGGATTAGTTTCTCATGAAATATTCACCAGTAGGCTTTACTCTATTGAAAAATACACACTTCTAGTTATTATTTAACTGCTCTGTCCCTCCTCAAAAATTAAAAAGCACAAATACAGATTTTGGCGTGGATAAAATCATGTCTTAAATGTTAGGGAATGAGGGGCACCTGGGTGGCTCATTAAGCAGTCATTAAGTGCCTGCTTTGGCTCAGGTCATGGTCCAGGGTCCTGGGATTGAGCCCCACGTTGGGCTCCCTGCTGGGTGCAAAGCCTGCTTCTCCCTCTCCCACTCCCCCCTGCTTGTGTTTCCTCTCTCGCTGTGTCTCTGTCAAATAAATTTTTAAAAAAATCTTTAAAAAATGTTAGGGAATGAGTACATATCAACTCAAGAGATCATAATTAATCGTTTCACATAGAAAAAAATGTATGGAGCCAGATAACTAAATAGAAAGTGTACTCCTGGGGGGCCTGGGTGGCTCAGTCAATTAAGTGACAGACTCTTGATTTCAGCTAATGGCAAGATCTCATGGGTCTTGGGATCAAGCCCGAGTCAGGTTCTGTGCTCAGGGGGGAGTCTACTTGAGATTCTCTCCCTCTCCCTCTGCCCCTCCTCCTGCTCACATGCACTCTCCCCCTCTCTCTCTAAAATAAATAAATAAATCATTTTAAAAAAGAGAGGGAGAAAAAGAAAATGTACTCTTTTTAGTTTGTAAACTCAGGAGGTTCCTGGGTGAAATCTGAAACTGGTCCCCACACACAGAGTGCAAGGAGAGAATGAAGAAAGACCACTCCAGATTGGTAGGCAGCAATTTTAATAAGCAAGGGAATTTACATGTGAGGCTTGTCTTAGGTGGTGCAAGATGAGCAGATCTCCACACCTACCCACCAGAATCTTAGAAGTTTACAGAGGCCTTAACTGGCTTACGTCACGTATTCAGCAGGTGGACCCAACAATACATTACCCTCTAAGGTTATGTCCTTGAAACTGGCTCCTACTGTGGGAATGGTGGGGCCGAATGTACATTCTAAGGACAGGGGAGGGGGCAAGGAGTCTCTGATTGCCCAGGTCCAGATTGTGGGTCAACCAAAAGTCACGTCCTCTCAGTGACTGCCCTCAACAACTCCCGATTGCTGATTATAGGTTATTTTCCGAATTTTAAATCTCTGAGCCATGGAAAAAGTCTATTATTTAAAAATAAAGTCTTTGAATCCCTCTGACAAATCGGTGCAGTCCTACTTTGTGTATTCAAAAGTGCTGTATTCGATCAATCTATTAGTGTGGTGGACAAAGTGATGTTCTACCCAGATCCCTCTTAGGTGAAGGACCTATTACCCCAGCTGCAGGGACTACTGCTGGCAGATGGCCTTCAGCTGTTCTCTTCTTCAGGGACGGCCTCAGCTTCAGAGAGCTGCTTCGTTTTCAAGTTCATGCCCATTCCAATACAGCCAAATGATTCATGTTCATATATAAAGAACAGGACAGCTCAAACCAACTCTTAACAACTCTGAAGGGTCATCCTAGCTCCAGAGCTCCCTCGAGGGCTGGCCAAGACTCACTGGCCTGCATCCCTATAACTTGACTTCTCCTTCTGTCCACTCCTGCTTCCTGTACTTCCCACCCACACCTATTGGTCCTTAATCAACACCCTGCCTGCTAAACTCTCAAGAAATGATATTATATAAAAAGAAACCCCCAGGCCTTAATGCAATGCAGTATGTCCAGAAATAGTATCATTATTCATTTATAAAGTTTACCTTGCATAACCCCTAAATGAATTTGAGACAACTATCAATAATCACAGTATTCAATCGTTGAAACAACCACACAAGTGTAAGCTTTGTTTAACAGGTAAGACTTTTTTTCCTGTGATTAAAGTTCAGTATTTCAAAGCAAAATTCTAATTGATAGCAATCACAAATAACACCTCTATGAAAATAGTTTCTAGGTCTTGTATCTCTGTGCAAGCACACATACAAGAAGGTCAAAAATAGAAAATATTTATGTAAATAATGGTGGGCATGGGGGTGGTGGGTGTATAGTTAGGCCTATGTGTGTGGCTTAGAGAATTAAGAGGAAGACTTAGAGACTCCTATTCCTTTAAACAGAAAAACAAGGCATGATATACCAGGACATATTTCTCCTTTCTACATAGGAGTATTGAGGGAGAGAAGTAATTACACATTTATCCTATGGTTCCTGTTTTTTTTTTTAAAAGATTTTATTTATTTTTTAACAGAGAGAGACAGCGAGAGAGGGAACACAAGCAGGGAGAGTGGGAGAGGGAGAAGCAGGCTTCCCGCTGAGCAGGGAGCGTGATGTGGGACTCGATCCCAGGACCCTGGGATCATGACCTGAGTGGAAGGCAGATGCTTAATGATGAGCCACCCAGGGGCCCTATGGTTCCTGTTTTGATACCACAGCTATTGCTACTGAATTGAGGGTACTGAATAAATGGAAAACGAGCAAGAGAGAAATGATAAAAACTGTTTAGAGTTACTGAGTATAATAGGGTACCTATAGATACAAACCCTTCTTTTTAATCTATGCAGTTATGGAATCAGTAGCTCATGAAAATATTGTTGGGGCAGCTAAGGACAGACAAGGCTAGAACTTTATTTCCAAGGTTGGAAACTCATGACTGGTTTTGCGAATGTTTCTCTCTCACTCTGGCATGGACAGTGAATATTCTTGACAATGCGTGGAGCCTTCAGAAGTTGGGAAGGGAGTGAACAACTAGGGGATTTAATATGAACCACAAGGTATCATTGCAAGCTTCAGCCCAAATATCACTCATCAGAAAGCCCTGTCATCTCTTGGTATATAAACGTCCTCCTCTTGTCACAATCTGTCAGTCTTCTTCATTGGGCAAGCCCAGTCTTACCGTGGCATGTATAATAAATTCGGAACTTGGATGCCCGGTCTGAGTTTTTGTCCCAGCTCAGGAAAGGCAGGGGACAGCCAAGGGAGACTGGTTCAGACTTGAGGTGAGCAGCTCAAGCAGCAACTAGTTTGCTAGCCAACTAGCAAAATGAGCATGGAGAAGTCCAGGAACCCATTGTTCCCCTAAGCCTCAAATTCTAAGTCAGAAAGTAGCTAGTTTGTGCTGGGTGCTCAGAGCCCAGCCCTAGTGTGATTTCTTCCAGGGCTGCACAGCAACCCGGTTGTGTGTGTGTGTGTGTGTGTGTGTGTGTGTCGGCGGGGGGGACTTTCCCTTACTAGCCACCGCACCATCTGTACGCAGGAGGCGCCCCTGTGGATGCCACAGACCATTTCTGGGCTGGCTTATTTAAGGATGGCCACACAGAGGTCATAGAGGGGTGTTCTCTAGATTCTTGCTACTCAGTGTGGTAAGAGGACCATCGGCAATAACATCACCTGGGGGATTGTTCAACTTGTAGAATCTGAGGCACCTGGATTTGCATTTTAATCCTTTGACACATTGAAGTTTGAGAAGCACGGGTCCAGGTGGCAGCAAGGAGGTTAGCGGAAGGATCTGCTTCTCAGCCCCGCCTCCTCCCGTCGCTTTGCTCTCCTCTTTAGCAAAGCTCAGCCCCGCATTGGTCCTGCACAAAATTTCTGCGAACCCCCAGTGTGTGCGTAGGGGGAGTGCAGGAGCTGCCCCGGCGCGGGGATACGGCAACTGGGTGACTGGATTGGCAAGGGGCTGCTTTCTCCGGCTCCGGGCTCCGCAGAGTGGAGACACTCCCCCGACCCTCCCCCTCTGCCGCCCCCCCTCCCCCGCCCCGCAGCTGCTACTGCCTGCCTCCCGCCGGCTGCCGCGAAAACCCGGAACAGCTGCGTGCGCTCGTGGAAAGTCCTCCTAGGGGCGAAGCCGGGCAGCTGGGCATGCTCAGTAGCTGGGGGAGGCTTGGGTGGAGAGTAGAAAGCCGCGGCTCTGCCTCCCACCCCCTCCCTCTGGCCCCCGCCCCCCTTGCCCCTACCCAGCCCGTAGTAGTTGCCCGGCGTGCGCCCGCCGAGCGCCAGTCGAGACCGGGAACATGGCGCTCCGAGCGATGTAGCCGCGGCGGAGGAGAAGCGGAGGAGGCGCCGCCGCTGCGCTGACAGCCAGCCACCAGGTAGGCAGGCGCGCCTGGCCGGGCTGCCTGGGTGGGTAGCGGCGCGGGGAGGGGCGCTTGCGGGGATGAGCACGGCTCGGACCCCGGGCATCTCGCCTCGCCGGCAGAGGATGCGAAGCGGACATCTGACAGCGCGCGGTTGTGCATCGCCTAGGAGATGCCAGAGGCTGGGGACCGGCGGGTTGCAGGGCAGAGATCCGGGACCGCCCCCACCCCCCATGCGCTGCCATCCAGCCTGGGCTCTCTGCGGGTCAAATAAAGGATTAGCTTCTTTCTGCCGGGCGAGAAGGCGCGGGGGAGACCCCCGGATACCAGTTCTGGGAGTGCGCTGGTCCCCCGGACCGCCAGCAAGCCCCGCACCGGTTCTTTGTGTATACAGCCGCGCACGCCCAGGGGGGTGCCAGGGTGCCTGTTTCTCCCCAGGAGTGTGGCACATATTGCCAGGGCAGGATTTCCGTATGGTTTTTGTCTCTTGGCAGGTGTGGACTGGAAGATGTAATAGCTGAGCCTTTATGGAGCTGTGTTTTCCTTTGTTACTTGCGTGTGTGTATGTGTGTGTGTGTGTGGATGCGCGCGCGCGCGCGTGGTGGGTTGTAATGGAGAGAGAGAACTTCTCCTGGGCACGGGTGTGGGCAGAGCGTGGAAGAGGATCTCGGTTCCAAACTCTTGTCAAAATCGCCTGTGACGTCGGCCTCCTGGAGGGTAAACTTGAAAAGTCTAGAGATCATCTGTGCCCGGTTTGGAGGAGAAGCGTGTTTGTCCTACTCGAACCCATGTGTGTGTAGCTGGAGGTTTAAACATGGGACGCTAGTTAATTCAACATTAGATATCAGTTAAGGGAATTTGAAGCATTGGGGCTGCCTGTGGTCAAATTAATAGAGAAGTTGGCAGTAAGCCAGGAGCAAGTGTCATCCTTAATAGCTGGTGACAGGTTAGGAGGCTAAATACACTTTTGGGGGAAATTGGGAAACCTTGCACAGGGTTCTACCAAGAAATAGCCATCGGGTCTTAGGTAACTCACAAAATCTCTCAGCACCTCCCTTTTCTCTTCTGGAGTTTGGTGGTATGTAGACACAGTCTCTCTTACCTGAGTCCAGATGGACAAGACACTCTTTGAAAGGCCCCTCCTACACTAGAATTCTATGAAACTGGCACCCCAGAATAACAGCTCTGCCACCTTAAATTTCTGTATCTGTTATATTCACAACTCACTGAGTTAAGGAAGGGAGGTAAATTTAGAATATGCTTTTATTTTTTACTTTAGAATTTAAAGGATGGACATCTGTGACCATGAAGTTTAGAGACACTTTCCTCCGTACTTGGAGTATCTATTCTTATGGTCTCCTTAGATGGCAAGAATGAGTCAGTATCATCAAAATGAAATGGGGGAGTGCTTGAGGAAAATGCATTTAAGTAAATTAAAGTCGTAAATGTCCAATCTGATGGTAATACCTTGACTTGGAATACATATGTGCAAAGCAGAAGCACTGCTAATGGAAGCAATAGAGTTGATGGCAAGTTTATTGATAGTATTGGTCTTAGAATAAGATTTTTGTGTTCCTCTGAGAAGGGGTAAAGATTGATTATACTAGGTGCCTGCAACTTGGTATTTTGCTAATAAATGTGAGTGTTAATGGCAGGCATTGAAAACACAGTTTGGCAGCTCCTCTCCTTTGTCAGAGTTTGCTTCAACGCTGCAGGTGTGAGAGGCGGGTGTTCCGGGCGTGGTATCTTGGTGATGAGACAGCTGAGTTTGGGCTCTGACTCCTCCATTCTTAGCTTTGTGATCTTGGGCAAGCTATTTAACTTCACGGAGTCTCAGCTTCCTCCCCTGTAAAACAATCCTGGGGACAGAGAGACTTGCCTAAATGGGTAGGTGTATGGATTACTCATAAACCACCAGGAAAATGGTGGTGACGCTTAGAAGAGGAAGGGAAATGGATATTTATTTACCCTATACTGTATTCCCTGTGTTAATGCTAGTCAGCCCCAAACAAGTGATCTAACTCTCCAACTGTTAGTTTCCTAGGGCTGCCATAACAAATTGCCAAAAACCAGGTAGCTTAAAACAAAACTTATTCTCTAGCGTTCTGCAGGCTGGAGCTCCACAATCAGGGTGTAGACAAGGCCCTGCTCCCGCTGAAGCCTCTTGGGGAGGATCCTTTCTTGCCCTTTTCCTGCATGTGGTGGCCCCAGGTGTTCCTTGGCTTGTGGCAACATAGCTCCAATTCCAGCCTCCATCTTCACATGGCTAAGTTCCCCCTTCTTATAAGGACACTATTCAGATTGAATTTAGGGTCCATTGTAATTCAGTATGACCTCATCTTGATTATATCTGCAAAGATCCTGTTTTCAAATAAGGTCACATTTATAGGGTCTGGTTAGGCATGAATTTCGGGAGGACGCTATTCAGCCCAGTATGTCAACATGCCTGTGATCTGTGTTTAATGGCCTGATTATTTCAGCATATGAATAGAAGGTAGAGTATTATGTGTTTGGAAAAGACTTTCAAGGTTATTTAATCCAGCTAACATATTTGACGTTTCCACCATGGTAAGGAAGAGCAGCATTTATAGGTACTAGGCAAATATCACTTATCTGGAAATCCAGTTGATCCAGGATCTCAGTCTCCTACAGGTGACCTACCTGACATACCCTGTACCAGTGGGGTTCGTTAATGTTGCCTCCTCTCTTTTTGCTACCCCACTGACACAATGCAAACAAACAACAGAAAATCAAATTGAACAAGAAAAATGACAAGAGCAACAAAAACACCCCAGTCGTAATACCTTTCCAATCTTTCTTAGCTTGGTAAATAGCACCACTGTCCATGGTGTTGCTTTAGCCAGACTGGAGAATCGTCTTTGACACCTTCATTCCCTGTGCCCTCTATATCCCAAATCACCCCAAAGTTACATAAATTTGGTCTTCTACATATATCTCTTGACAGATTCTTCTTTCCATCCCTACCACCACACCATCAAACCTCAAGTCATCAACTCTTTCCTGGATCACTAGCATAACTTTCTAGCAAGATCCCTGGCTCCTTGCTTGGTCCCTCAAATCATTCTTCTAGAGCGGATAGGATTGTGTCAGTTTCTTGCATAAAATGCATTCACATACTTGGGACGGGTTCCAAAGACTGAGCCTTGGGTGCTTAGCCAGCCTTGTCTTGGGCATCCCCTCTTGCTACTGTTAACACTGACCTCCTCTCTGTTGAGTATCCCAAGCACTTCCCCTAATATTTTGCCAATACAAACTGTACTCAACCTTCGGGCCTCCTTCGTCTCTCTTCCCCAGCAGCCCCATTCTCCTTATCACCCTTCTAATTTTCTTCCATAGCACTTACCTCAATTTGCAATTTCCTATTTATTTGACTAATGTCTGTAAACTCTAATGGCCATTTGTTTTATGTCTTGCATGTAGAAGATGTTCAATATTGGCGAATGAGTGAAGGAATGAGTACTCTTACAGCATTTTTCTGTGCCAACTTAAAGATCTGATTTTTTAGAAACTTTTTTTTTTACTAGTATAAAAAGAGCAATTGAGAAACTCATTCTGATTTCAAAAGAGGAGTATTCCTGGCTTTAACAAATGCATCTTCTAAGAATTGGTTTTAAGCAAACAGTTAAGAATTGAGTCAAAATATTTTCTAGCAACTGTTTTTGTAAAAACATCAGTCAGTCAACAAACATTTCACAAATGCCTATTGGACATTTATATTTGCCATGCTCGGCCTTAGGGGGACAACGGGGGAACTAGACTTTTAGCCTTCTAGAGATTAATAATAATAATGTGCAGTAATAACATTTACTGTGCTTCTGTTATAACCAGCTTCTTCTCAGTCCCTATCCCTACTCATTACTAGAGATAGTCCTCCAGTCTTTCCCAGTAACACAACCAAATCAGATGCACGGTAAATACTAATGAATTAATAATTAGTAGATATTATTATCCTTATCTTTAAAAATAGGAAGCTTGGGCTTATCTGTGGAAAAAGGAATCTGCTCCTGTACAGAAGAGCATGCAATTGTTTTTTGACTATATACAGGTGGGCCCTGTTCTACTTTATTTTTTTTTTTAAGATCTTATTTATTTATTTGACAGAGAGAGACACAGCGAGAGCAGGAACACAAGCAGGGGGAGTGGGGGAGGGAGAAGCAGGTTTCCCGCGGAGCAGGGAGCCCCACGCGGGGCTCGATCCCAGGACCCTGGGATCATGACCTGAGCCGAAGGCAGACACTTAACGACTGAGCCACCCAGGGGCCCCGGCCCTGTTCTACTTTAAAAAATCATTCTGCCTATTGTCTCTGGGGTTAAAATAAGAGACAAACTGCTCTTTATACAAGAGCAAGTTCCTGGTGTGTTTCTTTTTTCTTTTTTTTTTTTTTTAAGATTTTATTTATTTTTTGACAGAGAGAGACACAGCGAGAGAGGGAACACAAGCAGGGGGAGTGGGAGAGGGAGAAGCAGGCTTCCCATGGAGCAGGGAAGCCGATGCGGGGCTTGATCCCAGGACCCCAGGATCATGACCTGAGCCAAAGGCAAACGCTTAATGACTGAGCCACCCAGGTGCCCCTCCTGGTGTGTTTGTCTTCCACAGTTGTCAAAATTCGTAATCAGCTATTGAATTGTTTTTATTTGTCCTATTTAATCCAAGTGAGAAGTGACTGAATGTCTCCTTCAGGGCACTTCTGGGTAGTTTTGAAAAGCAAGGCTGAGTACCCTGGGGAAAAGAATGTGGTTCAGTGCAGGATTACAAAGTTACATTTTGGATTTCTGGGATGGCCTTAATTTCATGTAATCTTATTTCATGAAAAGTGCTTTTTTTAAAATAAACATTTAATGCATATGTTTAAGTATAACTTTTCACCCAAGTAACAAAATATTGGACATTGTGTCTTGATTTTGTGTAAAAGTGGTAGATACACAACTGAGTCAACTAAAACATAAACTTCTGTTTCTGTAAGATCGTTAGTTATAAAATTCCTGTTTAAAAA